TGTTAGGATCATATATTAGATAAATCAATATATTGTGGATAACAAATATTTTTCATATGGAGCTATGCCCTTGAAAGGCGATTTACACTTTAGATTCTGCCGCGTAACAGACGAATGTTATGGAAAGGCTATGTTATGAAGAAGTTTCCATACAAAATCGTTCAAAATATTGACAAAAGCCATGTGGTCGCTATGCAGTGAGGCGATTTTCCCATGTTGTCAGATAAAAAACAACCCAGAAACCGCACAAATGTCACAAAAACGATGTTAGATAACAGGGCCTTTCTGACTCGGCTTTATAACATACGAGTAACTTTGCAGTTTATGTGTAAAAGCCTGAATGCACAGCAAATACATGACAAATTGACAGTATTCAGTATGATTCAGTAGCATAATGCATGGAAGTTAAAGCGTATCATGGCCTTGCCATCACATTGTCTATTATGCATTATATACATGACATTTTGACAGTATTCAGTATGATTTCAGTAGCATAATGCATAGAAGTTAGAACGTATCATGACCAAATCATTTGTCTGTTATGTGGCAAAATCGTTCCTATATTTAAGATTTATAATCTTAAGAAAAAGTTTGAAATCACGCTGCCTGATGTCAGACTTGGCCGAGTCGGGGATCAAACCATCAAACCTAGTTTCGATTCGCACAAACATTAGTTTTAATATAGGTTTCATCAATCATAAAAATCCATAAAAATTTGATAAATAAATCGAGTTCTCAAAAGCCACAGAGTAAGGCGGGGCATGAAGTTCCAAATTAACTTTAAGTAATCATACTGTCTAAAAAACCAAATGAACAACATCATATCACATCTGTCCCTTTTTACACCATAGGCGAGAACAGCCAGAATGCAAACAGATAAAATGTTTTATTTCTATTTTAAAGGGATTTCGCGAAATACTTGCTGCGTTATCTAACTAATGCAAAATATAAATTGCATAGGTGCATTTTTTACAGACCTGACCCTGCAGAGATAAAATAACTATTTAATAATTTATCTCTTGTAAAATTCAACTTGAATAACTAATTCTTATTGTTTACGCCTTTGCCAGAGTAAAAAATTCAGATTCAGAAAAAAGGTTCAGATGTGTCTTTTTACTCCACTTGCATGTAAACTTTTATATATTTTATATAAAACAAACTGTTGAATCTAACTTGGAAAACAACAATACATATTATAAAATAATTGAATAGTGTACATGTGAAAATTATATTAAGATCTCATAAACTAAACAACAGTGCTCACAACCAATAAAAACTAAGAATAAATTACAATACTTTTGGCATGGATTTTCAAACTTTGCCGTTTATCTCCTGATGGCGACATTGTAAAAGTTAATGCCCTGGTTATATATTATTTTCCCTCTACTTTTAAATATTGTTGTTAAAAAATTCCTAACTTTACTTGTTGTTGAGATATTGGTGGTGGAGCTTTTTACCCGCGAATCTTTAAGCCCCGCTCTTACTTCATTTGTTATTGATATTTATAATGTTGGTCAATTTGATGATTAAGATGAAATAATATAAAATAAAATGTAACTTTATAGTAAATAAAATAACACAAAAAAAATTACTTTTATGTTATAACCTTTCCTGTTACCTTATAATGGCAGCTAGTTGTAAGACTTAAAAATGATTAAAGTATTTTTTAAAAAGTATGACAAATGTATATACTGTAATTAAAAAATACTTGCAATTTTGTAATTTATATTTATATGATTACAATAATTATCTTCTTTCATTGTTTGTAAAATATGCAGAAATCAAATTTTATATCTTGATTCTTTTAAATTGCCAGCGTTTGTCATATGAATTGTTAACATTCTTAAATGAACGCTCAATACAAAATAAAGGAATGTAAATTATTTGACTACATTCTCTAAATTGTGCTTAATTGTCCAAAATACATACAATTGTTTATTGGTGTATGGTGTGGTAATAAGATATCAAATATGTAAAATATTTATGCATTTATAGAAATTATAGAGAAGGATAATGGAAACATTTGAATGGTACAATTTGAAGAAAACTAATACCTATTACTAGTAACAAATAATTATACCTACATGAACTATTCAATACTTTGCCAATAATATGTATTACTTTTTAGCAACTTCCAAATATGTACTCTGTTTTAAAAAAAATGTAACATTTATGTTTATACTTAATGTTCGTATTTTATCTAAAACCGTACAAACATAATATAAAATTGAGTGAATCATTAGAAGAAAATTATAAAAACATTCAAACAATTAATCAGAAAAGTTTTTCATCTAGTTATTATTGTAAAGGTGATCGATGGCATTATAAATATAGTAAACGTTATAAAAGAATTACCCGAAATTTTTTTAACTGATTTAAAAATAAAAATTGTAAAAATTTCTTGATTTATTATTAAGTCAAACACAGAAATATAAAATACAACTACAGAACTCATACTATTTATATTCATCGATTTTGAACGACAAAAATGCATCTTAAATACTATTTTTAAGAATCACAACATGCAGACCTATTTTCTAGATCATAAGTTAAAGAGATTTTTATGGCTATTATTAAATTTATGTAATTAGATTAAATTCTGTACTGAATACAATTTATATATCATATTAAAACCAAGTAATTCTGCAAAATATAAGTCAATTGAATACTTTAAAATCAAAACTCTATGAAGCTGAGATTTCTTCCTGCATTCATGTATTAATTAGCATAAGAATGTTAAATATAAATTTATAAACACGAGAATCTTAAAGCAATGTTAGTTCGAATAATTTCAAGCATTCAGACGTTGTTTATAAAACAATGGGCATTACAGCAATCCGACGATTCGAAGCAGCTTCATTATGCAAAAGGCGTCTCTACCAAGTATCGGACTCTAATAAAAGATACAAATTTATATCATATTTTGAATTTTCCGTATGGAAAGCTATTGTAATCGTCCAAAAATCAAAAAAAAAATTTGCATATCTCCACAATATTTCTTCAACGATTTTAAAATATGAGAACAGGTCCTTCATTCTATCTCCACTTTATTAAGTTCTGCTTATTTACTTTATATGTGAAATTATATAAACGACATCGTTCAATTTATAAGCTTTTATATTTTGTCTATAAGATACAAATACTCAAGTTACAGTAGTTATAATATATATTTGAAAACATTTGATATTCCTCGAATATTTCATCACGGTACGGTAAGTTCCAGCAAGTTGCCAAGTTTATTATCGTAATGCAAATTGTAGCGTTTAAAGAACTTTAGAAGAATTTTATTTATTTCCTTATTATCACTAATATCTGATTTGGTGAGAAGATAAAAAAAATAGGACAATGGTGATATACTTCTGAAATTAATTCAATTTGTTTTACAAAAATGTTCTCTTCTGGCTGCGTGTAAGTGTTATTTTACCTGAAACAGTTTATCAAAACTACCACATGTGTGGAAATATTGATTTAATATAAGAAATGACATTTAATGACATAAAAATGGTATAAATAGAGTATTGACATT